AAGAGGAAGAGAGAGAATCTTACCCAGGCTCTAAGCCCAACGTGGAGCCCCACAAAGGACTCCTTCTTACAACCCTGAGATCTAAGCTGAAATCAAGAGTCAGATGCTTAACTGACGGAGTTGCCTAGGTGACTCCAGGCACCCCAAAATTCAGCCCTTTTTTGCCTTCTGACCCGAACAATCTTAAGTCGAGTCAGCAGACAGGATCTGCGCAAAAGAAAATTTCTTATGGACCCCTAGCTCTACAGTCCCCAGAGGGCTCTGAGGAGGCCAGGACATTGATGAGTGTCAGTCTAGACGATGCGGGAATTGATGAGGAAACCAAGCGAGCTATCCATCCCTGCATCCTGGCTGCCATGAGGGCTGGGCTGACGGCGAGGGGCAGGGGTCTGGGGGTATAAGCTGCAGGTCCAGCCTGTAGGAGGGACTAAGGGCTGAGATCTGGCTCATAGGCAGGCCGTTTCTGTGTTCTTTCCTAGTCCCAGTCAGACAAGCTGAAGTTCCTGAGGGCTGTGGATACCCTGAGCAGCGCTGTTCGCTCCCAGCCAAATGGCAGTATGAATGATTACTTTCCCAAATCCATTCTGGCCAAGAAAATTGAGGTGAGAAAGACCCTGAGCTCTTCTGGGAGTTGGTCTTCTGGGGAGGAGGATGACCAGCTCCCAGAGCCAAGAGCTGGCACCGCTCTCTGAGGGAAATTCTTGTTTCCTCCTGGTCCTTCTAGGTACTAATCCTTGAAGAATCCACCGAGGTCTTGGTCAGCAATGTGCGTCAGCAAGCCATGCTCTGCATCGTGGCCCTGAGGTTCCTTCCTTGCTGTTTCCTCCTCTGAGCCCCTGGGTCTCTGATGCTAAGAGCATTCGGGTTGGGAAGAATGGGAAGGTTGGGGGACTTGAGTTTTGGGCTGTGGGTGGTAGGCCCCCATGATTACCATCTCATCTACCAGCATCCAGGGGTGGTAGTGATACCCCCGATTTCATTATTAGAAACCTGTTAGGACGCCCAGTGTAGGGAGGTCTTCCCATGACTGTGACCTCCCTCCCTGGCAAGGAGGTCATTGACAATTGTCTGGGGTCTCAGGTCTACACTGTTTCCTGTGCCTCAGAAAAGGTAGGAGACCAGGTTCTACTTTAGGGACCTAGAAGCCTAACCCAGCTTGTCACTAATATCCTTCAAAGCTCTCTTGTCTTTCCTCCCCTCTCACCCCAGCCAGGTGAATCCACCATTCTACTTACCCCAGAAACTGGACCTGGTAAATTCCTGCATCTCTAGCACATTCTCTCTGCCCCTCATCGCGCCCAGTCTAGACCGAAAGGAGAGTGCTAGTCTCTACCTCCAGGTAATCCCCAGCATCGCCTCCCCGTGGAGGGTTCCTCTTCTGAGGCTTGCTCTGTCCTCTGAGCTCCTGGGCCCTTCTCCCCTCCTCTTTGGCCCCTCCTTCAGGAGCTCGGAGCCCCACGGTCCTCACTCTGCCCAGGAGTAACCCCTCGACCTCACCCTCACCACCTGTCTCCCTAGGGAGTGACTCGTGTTCCCACGCTGCCTGTGTCCTCTCTCACAAAGGCTCTCGTTTCTCTGGTTCCATGGCAGATTCTGTCTTACGAAGAGACCATATGATGATAAAACCCATAGATTTTACGGAATAACTGACCAAGCAGACTGTCAAATCTCAAGTATTTTCAGTTTTAAAAATAGAGCTTTCCTTAATCTAACAGCATGAGTCCCTAATGGTGAGAACCTCACAGGGACTGTATTTGTTGGGGACACCTGCCTGATGCCTACATTTTATTTACTATTTGGCCTACGATTTGGACGGGTCCCAGTCTAATCTCCCATGAGGTCAACGGAGGTCAGCACTTGGGAAGATTGGACTGTGGTGGCACAGCTGGACTGGTCCCCACTCTCCTTCCTCCTGAGGAGGGGTCTGAGGGGCATGGGGGAGTGCCCCAGGGAGCCAGCCGGCCTGGTGGCTGTCGGTCCTCCTACATGCCACGCCTCCTCACTTGTCAGACGATCCAAGCCTTAGATGACCTGTTGCAAGCTCTCGTAATGGAGGGTCTGGACCCCAGCATGGCATTACTACAGGACTTCCTGGAGGTAAATGTCTGTCAAAATCAGCCACACTGGAGCCCTCTGTTAAATCTGGTCTTTCGGGGGGGAAAGACAAGGAATATTAAGACAATCGGTGTGTGGGGGGGGGTCTTTCTAGCCCAGAGGTCCTTGGCTCTCAAACCTCTCAAGCATCACAGTAACTTGGACACCACTTCTTGTATTGCCCTCTCTCTGTCTTTAGAGCCTTTCCAATATTCGTAGTGATGACATGCCGTCATCTCGCTGGGGTGAAGCTGAATTGGGGAAATAGCCGAGTCACTTGAAACCAACTTTCCTCAACATGATGATGATGTCTGAGGATAATATAATTTTGGATAAAATATGACATGGGACTACCAATACGGAGACAGGATCACCTGGGTGTCTTTAAAAAAAAAAAATTGGGGGGCGCCTAGGTGGCTCAGTCATTAAGTGTCTGCCTTTGGCTCAGGTCATGATCCCAGGGTCCTGGGATTGAGCCTCGAATTGTGGTCCCTGCTGAGCTTCTCCCTCTCCCACTCCCCCTGCTTGTGTTCTCTCTCTCACTGTGTCTCTCTCTATCAAATAAAGAAAATATTTTAAAAAAGCAACCAACCAAACAAAGAAAACCCAAAAAAACAAAAAAACTTTGATGAGGGCCATATCTAGAGAGGAAACCTATCCATATTGGGATTAGAGACATGGTTTTTTTGGAAGGTCTCATTTCTGGTACACTTGTTGAGAAGCATTTCTGTGCTTTGTAGGTACCTGCACTGTAAGTGGATTAGGAAACGCATTATTATAATTTGAGTTTCTAGGGAAACAAAGATGCAGAGCTTTGGTTCTCCATCAGGATGGGGTCCTCAGGAAATCCACTACGGGAGTCCTCATTATTCAAAAGTAAATGGTGCTCTCCAAAGGGACCACTTGAAATTGTTTCTAAAACTTCATTTATTGATTTATCTCGATAACTGAAATTAAAATGATGAAAGTAAGATTTTTACATGCAACAACATTTAGATTATATTTGCTACCTTGAGTTAATTCTGAAACAAAAAAATTCAGACACAATTTTTCCTACAAAAACTATATGATCGCATAATACCTCATTTATTTCATATTAGACTTTGCTCAGTGGGATCAGAAAGAGGGTTAATTTTGAAAAAAATATTTAAGGTCCATTTACTTTTTTGAAGGACGTCTCTCTCTCTCTCTCTCTCTCTCTCTCTTTTGCCTTGTTTTTCCCCCATATTTTTATTAAGGCATAATTTACATACAGTATAACGTCCCCTCTTAGTCTGTAGTTCCGCAATTTTTTTTTACAAACTCAGCCATATCTACACAACTAGACTCAAGCTACAGAGCTGTTCTACCATCCCCCCACAGCCCCTCACGACTCTGGAGTCAACCCCTCTGTCCACCCCAACCCCTGACAGTAGATGATCTGTTCTTCTCTTCGGCACATGAGCTGCCAGAGCGAGCACCTGTTTGTCTTGCTGGCAGTTGGGAGGTAGATTCAAAGCAAGGAGGGATGAGGGCAGTGTTCCCGTGGAAGACACTGGTGCTCTCCCTATGCTGCCTTTCCAGATCATCTTGCCTTGGTTAACACTGTCAGAGAAAGTGCACGAACAGACCCGGGCCTTGGGCGCCATTGCCCGGATGCTGAGGTTTATTTGCAATTTCCCGGAGCTGTCGGTGAGTGCCCAGGGTTGGGAGGAGACCAACCCATGGGCCTTGCCTCTCTGAACATGGGCCACCTGGCAAAGCCTGAGTCTCGTCAGGGCTGAGCGCCTTATTTATTGGTCTATTTATTTAGTGTGAGTGCCTTTTCTGCTTCTATGGGATAGTGCCCTTAGCTAGTAAACTCTATTGTGCAGACATAGCTCAGTCTCGGTGGGAGACCTTGGCCTGGAGAGCTGGGTTGGGCCCGTAGCTTTCCGTCGGCTGACATATTTGAGGTGTCTGACTGCCCCGTTTCCCTGGGTGTTGATTCGGAATGCTCCCCGACTCCAGGACGGAGTGTGGAGTTGGTGGGGCCAGGGGCCACACACAAGCATGTACCTTAGTGATGTGGGAAGAAAGGGCAGGTTGGAGGGGGACGACGGTCATGGTGGGGAGGAGCTCCTTGCGGGATGGCGGGGAGGTAAGTTTCCTCTTCCTGGCAGGACATGACGGAGTTCTCCATGAGTGGGAAGCTAATCGGCATCTTAGGCCTGTTCTGCATGAATGCCGACTATGAGATCAGCACAGGGGCCTCGGAGGCATTGCATTACTTGTTCAAAATCCTCGTGCTTCATAGAAGTAAGTGATACGAGCTGGGCCGTTGTGAGGCTGCTGCTGTGGGGACCCTCTGAGCGACAGGAGCTAACCAGTATGGGTCCCTGAGTGCCTACCTTGTGTATGGCACAGCGGAGGGCAGTTCTCTCCTGCAGGGGCACTGGAGTAAACAGGCTTTATCTAAAAGAATGCCAAAGCCATGCTGATGCAACATCCTGTTTTAAAAGATTCTAGAAGATCCTTGGAAAAAAGGGGGAGCTAGGTTCACAGCCCCCCATGAGATCCCATCACTCCTGCTGGGTGTCTGACTGAGAAAATGGGCATCCTTTCGCAGGGAACAAACTTGGGAATCTTTGTTCTAGACCTTCTCTGCCCCAGAAAAAAAACAAAGATACAGACAGCCACTCACACTTAGAGAGGTGCTAGAGGGATTTGCAAGTATGCCCTAATGGGAGTTTCAGAAACCTTGGCTTTTTATGATTCATTAAAATGTGCTTCCTGTTTTGCTCAGCTGTCAGGGTGAGGGGTGGGGACAGTCTACATGGTGGCATGGGTACAGGAACAGCAGGGCCAGTGGACCAGACTGCCTCCCCAGAGACAGTCTCCCTCCACCCATCAGCCTGGCACTAGGGAGCTCTCCCCATTCTGCTGGGCAAACGTTACTCCGCCTGTTGAATCCTGTTGATCTCTGAGGTTTGGAGGGGAAGGGAGGGAGGGTGTGTTGCTTTCTTCCTGTTAAGGCCCTGCCCTGTAATTGTTGTTTTTGGACTGGAGGTGTGAAACAGAAGACAGAGGTCGTCCTGAAGGACTTGCAGAAGCATTTCCGGGGAGGATGGTTTGCCAACATGCAGAGTCTCACTATGGTAACCCTTGCCTTCCACCGTGTGTGGGGTGTCCAGACGGGGAGCGTCCAGAGGGAAGAGAAAGATGGCTGAGTAGCGATTACAGAGGGCCTGGCTGGGACCACAGGGGACTGCCACCCTGACACAGGGAACGGCCCCTAAAATTTAAGATCTCATGGACAGCATGCTGGAGGGATAAGGCCCACTTCCCTAGCTTCACTTGAGTTGACTGAAGCTGGAGGGTCATTGAGAGAGTTTGTAACATAGGGGCACAGTCAACCCCATCCCCCACCCGCAGATTGTGCTCCTGGTCCTTTAGCTGTGGCCTAGCTTTAATTCTATAGGCGTATTGCTGGTCTTAGCAATGGTGTCTCCAAGCTTAGTCTGCTTCAGCCATGGCAGCTAGATATCCCAGAATCCTTCTTCCTTCTTTCCCTCCCGTCACGTTCCACATCCAGTTCCATCCCCTGTCTGTCCATTGTCATCCTGGATGGGAAGAGATTTCATCCACACTGCCCCGGCGCCACCGCTGCTCTTCTGACTCCGTCCACCACCAGTCTTGGGCCTCCTGCCCATCGCCCTGTTTCTGACCGTGCTCCTCACCACACCATTTTCTGCACTGTCCTCAGAGATTTCTCAAACACACATATCATCATATTATTCCCCTTCGGACTTTGCCCAGATTCTCCATTGTTCTTATCCTAAAGGCCTAACTTCACGCAGCCAGGGAGGCCCGGCCCAATGTGGCTCCTGCCCAGCTCCCTCGCCTCATCTTTTCTGGATTCCCCTTCCCCACCCGGTTCAGGTTCCTTGCAGGGCACAGTGACTGGACTGAACTCTTCTCTCTCCAGGACTTTGTACAGTCTGTTCCCTGCCTGGAACTCTTTCCCCCATTTTCACCAAGTATGGACTTCAGAGGTACTTCTTCTAGGAAGACTCATCTAATCTTGCAAGTCTAGCTTCGGTGTCCCCACTGTGTCCCTTACTGGCCTTTCTCACATGGCACCATGAATATCTATTTACCTGCCCTGACCAGACAGTAATTTCCTTGAGGGTAAAGGCAGGGGGTGTCTTGTGTGTGGGCTTCCTCCCCAGCTCCCGGCATAGAACCAGGCAGAGTCGGAACTCTCTTTCTTGTTTGGGTGAATAAGCGTCCCTGGGGTGTGTAGATCCAGAGACATGAGGCACACCTGGTGTAGACCACAGTAGTCACTATTTCCCTTGGAATGCTGTCAACTCACCACACATCAGAACTCATTTCCAAATGGGATCACCTAATTACATTCCAAATCCAAAATAGAAATGCCTTTTCATTGTTCTCTTGTACCGTGTTGTCTGGACCCTTGTTCTTACCTGGGGATCCTGGCCTCACACCATAGAATAACCAGATATGGGCCAGGGGTGTCTCCACTGGACCCAGGTTGACTGGTCTCTTTGGAGTCCGGGGGTTTTGTGCAGTCCCAGAGTGGGATGCTGACATTGCAGAGACAGCTGTTGTTTCTCTTTCGTCAGTTCTTCCGGAAATACCTGACCCCTGAAGAGAGAGCAGATGTGCTAATGGTGTCAATGGAGGCCATGACCAGTGCCAACAGGAAAGACGCCTTCGCGGCTTCCAAGATGCTAAAGATGATCCTGAAGTACTCTATGCCAGAAATTGGGAAGGTACCAGCTCTGAAGGGCTTAATGGTTCAAGGTCAATTGAAGATTCTTCCTCTCTGTTTTGGATCTTGTTCTGTTTTATTTCCTACTGGTTGGGGTTTAAGGAATTGAAATCCTGTAACTCAGAGGAGAGAAAGTTAAATGAGGAGTTGTTTGCAATTGTGTGAAAGACCCTTCCATGGGAAAGGATGCCTTTCCATGGGAAAGGATGCCTTTGCATGGGAAAGGATGCCTTTCCATGGGAAAGGATGCCTTTCCATGGGAAAAGATACCTCCACATCTACCAGAAAGGGAAGAATAGAGTCAAATCTATAGCAGGAGACTACTGTGGGGTCCCAGGACCAAGAGAGAAGTGTTATCCCTTCTATTTCCAAACAGTATGTTAGGTCTGTGGGTGCCTTCTTCATTCAGGTGGGAGAATGTACAGTCAAGACAGAGATCAGTCTATCTATCTATTGATCAATCTATCCATCTATCTATTGATCTATCAATCTATCTCATATATCTGTATTTCATATATACATATGAATTTGTGAGACATTGACATGAATCAGAGATGGAATACAGGGGCTCTTTTGTCAGAGGTGGGACTGGTTCTCCATGAAATCAAGATAGCATAGTTTATCTTTGTCCCTTAATATCTCATTTTTTAAAAAGATTTATTTATTTATTTAATTGACAGACAGAGATCACAAGTAGGTAGAGAGGCAAGCAGAGAGAGGAGGAAGCAGGCTCCCCGCTGAGCAGAGAGCCCGATGTGGGGCTTGATCTCAGGACCCTGGGATCATGACCTGCGCTGAAGGCAGAGGCTTTAACCCACTGAGCCACTCAGGCACCCTTAATATCCCATTTTTAAAGGTCTTATGGATTGATAGATTCACTCTCATCTCATTGGCCTAACCTACTCCTCTATCTTGGTCATGACATCTCTACAATAGGTCCAGTTATTATCTCAAGTCTTAGCCTTGCCACCCTCTCTGGCCTGGAGAGCCATCTGAATGCCTCAGAGCAGACCAGGAGTAAGCTCTTTGAGCTGAAGGCCATCCCCAATGTCAACCACTGCAACATCCCACTCAATGCCTGTAACCCCTTCTGGAACATTCCTGACTCTTGAAAATAGTCAGACTTTCCTGAAAGCATTTTTGGGAAGCTCATGACCTTAAACGATAACTCATTCTAATTTGTGAATCATTTTCATTATTAGAAAGTTCTACCTTATTGTGAGCTGAAATATTCATCTCCACAGTTTCTAGTCCTTGGCCCAAGTTTGCATTTTGGACTTATGCAAAAATCAATTAATATTCAGGTTTTATTAAAACTGGGTGCCATGCACTCTGCTAGCCTTCCTTGTTCACATGTTATTCTACTGAATTCTTACAGCAGGTCTGCAAGGAAGGAACGGTTTTCTTTTTAGAAATGGGGAAAAGGCTCAAGGAGGCTAAGAGCCTTAGTAACTGAAGTTTCTTGAACACTTCTTGTGTAATGGACACTGTTCCAACCAATGTAGGTGTATTAGCTCAGAGACATTGAGGTGGGTAAAGTTGTTCTCATTTTCTATATGAGGAAGTAATGCACAGAGAGGATGAAAAACTTGCCAAGGTCATACAACTGGTAAGCAAGGAAGTGAAGTTCAAATTCAGGCAGTGTGACTCCAGGGCCTGTGCTGTTCACCAGTAGGCACCCTGCTGAGTGCACATGGCTAGTAAACCATAAGGCCTGAGCCCTGGCCTTCCCCTATAATAGGCTTGATGTCTCCTATCCCCACATCTCTGAGTTACTCAACCCCAGACACTTGCTTCATTCCTCATGACATGGTTTCCAGGCATGACTTGAGTGACCCTTCCCTGTTGCTCTTTATTTTGTCCCTCTTAAAATATGGGGGACAGGAGAGCCCCCAACCACACAGGTGTGGCCAGACCAGAGTTGGGCACTGACGGCTGGGGACTGGTTTGCATTGGTGTGTGACTATACACACACTTTATACGGAAGGTGCCTGGTTACATGCCTCTTGATGAGCTGGGGCTGCGTCCAGAATGAAACTTGCTCCTCCTTCCCCCACTTCAGGTGCCAGAAATCATCCAGTACATTTACCACAATGTGAACAACATCACCGAAACCACAGCCCAAGGGACCATAGAGAAGATCCTTTACCTGCTGGCCCAGACCTACACTGATGAAGTTATCTTGACACTATTTAAGATGGAGGATCAGTCACAAAGGTGGGTGACCATCAATTCCACCCACCAGCCACCGACAGTCTTCTAATTTGCTTACTCTTAAAATGTACCCAATTTTTAATACAAGCAGGTTCCTTACTTATTTGGGGACAGGGTGATTGTCAAAGTAATATGGGCTTATTGCAGCAAAGTTGAAAGCATGCAAAATTTTGAAAAAGTAAAAAAAAAAAGTCATATTGGTTATCACCAAGTATAATTTATAATGTCTACCTTTTATTTATTTTTATTTTTTAAAGATTTATTTATTTGAGAGAGAGAGAGAGACAGAGAGCATGCGTGAGTGGGGGGGAGGGGCAGAAGGTGAGGGAAATAGAGAATCCCAGGCAGACTCAGGCAGACTCCCCACGGCACTACTGAGTGCAGAGCCCGGTGCAGGACTTGGTCCCGTGATCCTGAGATCATGACCTGAGCTGGAATAAGAGTTGGCCACTTGACTGAACCTCCCAGGCACTCCTAATTTATCTACATTAAAAAAAAAAATTTTTTTAAGATTTATTTATTTATTTATTTGACAGAGAGCGAGAGAGATCACAAATAGGCAGAGAGGCAGGCAGAGACAGGGAGAGGGGGAAGTAGGCTCCCCACTCAGCAGAGAGCCCAAAGTGGGGCTCGATCCCAGGACCCTGGGATCATGACCTGAGCTGAAGGCAGAAGCTTTAACCCACTGAGTCACCCAGGTGCCCTAAAAATGTTTTTTTTTTTTTAAATGTATTATCAAGCTCATACTATACATACCAATTTGCATATTTTTCATTTAACATTTTATCATAGCATTTTCCTAAGTTAAAACCTTTCTGTAAACATAACTTAATGGCTGTATAATATTATATATTCTATAATACAATATTATATTGTATGAATCTACTACACTAGAATTTCTTTTTTTTAACTTAAAAGATTTTTTAACTTACATGTAGTAAAATTCACCCTTTGGCCATACAGGTCTATAAGTTTTCTCAAATGTACAGTTGCAGTCATCACCCCCGTTATCAAGATAGAGAACATTTCCATCCCCAACCAAAATTCCCCTGTACTACCCATCTGGAGTCAACTCCCTCCTCCAAACCCAACCCCTGGCAACCACTCTCTGTTCTCTATCCCTCTCATTGAGCCTTTACCAGAATATGGTAAAGAGACTCATACAGCACAAATCATACAGTACAAAACAGAATCATGCTTTTGAATCTGGCTCCTTCCACCCTGCATGAGGCATTTGGGATTCATCCAATAGTCTTGGGGCGCCTGGGTGGTTCAGTGGGTAAAGCCTCTGCCTTTGGCTCAGGTCATGATCCCAGGGTCCTGGGATCGAGCCCTGCATTGGGCTCTCTGCTCGGCAGGGAGCCTGCTTCCCCCCATTTCTCTCTCTGCCTACTTGTGATCTCTGTCCATCAAATAAAGAAATAAAATCTTTAAAAAAATAGTTGAATAGTCTTATATGGATATCCCACAGGGCTTTTTTTTAAAATCCATTTACCTTTTAGGTGGTTTCCAATTTTTGATAATTATAATGCTGCTATAAATATTTGTGTACAGTTTTTCTTTGTGTGGATATCAGCTTTCATTTTTCTTGAATAAATTCCTAGGAACTGCATTGCTGGGTATTATGGGAAGTATGTATGTTTAACTTGAAAAGAAACTGCCAGACCATTTCTCATGTGTAGATTTCCCATTCCCACCAGCAACATAGGGAAGTTCCAGTTGCTCCCATCCTTGTTCACACTTGGTATTTACACTGAAAAAAAAAAATATTAGTCCTTCTACCAAGTGTGTAGTAGCATCTCATTGTCATTTTAATTTACATTGCCCTAATTTATTTATTTAAAAATTTTTTTAAAGGTTTTACTTATTTATTTGACTGAGAGAGGGATCATAAGTAGGCAGAGAGGCAGGCAACGAGGGGGGGTGCGGGGAAAGCAGATCCCTGCTGAGCAGAGAGCCTGATGCAGGGCTTGATCCCAGGACCCTGAGATCATGATCTGAGCTGAAGGCAGAGGCTTAACCCACTGAGCCACCCAGGTGCCCTTGCCCTAATTTAATTGCCGCAAATGAGGTTGAGCCTGATTTCATGTTTTTACTGGCCATCCGCAGGACTTCTTTGTTCAAGTATCCAAATCTCATACTCCTTTCTTAATTGAGACGTTTGTCTTCTTATCATTGAGTTTTGACAGTCCTTTATATATTCTGGCTATAAGTCTTTTTGCCAGTTACACGATTTTCAAATATTTCTCTCATTTTGTGGATTATTTTTCATTCTCTGGAGTGTCTTTGGCAAAGTTCTAAATCTGATGGAGTCCATTTTATCTTTTTTTTCTTCCTGCTATGGATTGTGTTTAAGGTCACAGATTTTCTCCCATGTTTGCTTCTAGGAGGTTTGCACTTTTACGTGTTATATGTAAGTGTGTGTTTCAGTTTTGGTTAATTTAGGTGTGAGGATCTGAGTCTAGTTCAGCTTATTGCATAGAAACATGTGAATCTAGAGTTTCATTTCTTGGAAGTTTTTAAACGATGGATTCAATTTATTCAGCAGGCGTAGGGCCATTGAGATTATCTATGTCTTCTTCAGTGAGTGTTGTTAGTTCATGTGTTTCAGGGAATTGGTCTATTTCATCTAAGTTATCTTATTTATGATCAAGGAGTAGGTCATAGTATTCTTTCATTAACTTTGAATGTCACTAATGATTTCCCCTCTTTCATTACTGATACTGGTACTTTGTGTCTTCTCTTTGCTTTTTGGTCAGTTTGCTGACCAAAAGCAGTTTGCTAATGTTATTGATGATTTCTAACAACCAGGTTTTATTGATCTTTCCCTCTGTTGTTTTTCTGCTTCCATTTTATTTATTTCTGCTCTTGATAATTTCCTTTGTTCTGCCTGTTTTGAATTTAATTTCGTCATCTTTTTATAGTTTCCTAAGGTGGAAACGTAGATTAGTGATTTGAGAATTTTTTTTTCTTAAAGAGTTTATTTATTTGACAGGCCGATCACAACTAGGCAGAGAGGCAGGCAGAGAGAGAGAAGGAAGCAGACTCCCCACTGAGCAGAGAGCCCGATGCGGAGCTCCATCCCAGGACCCTGAGATCATGACCTGAGCTGAAGGCAGAGGCTTAACCCACTGAGCCACCCAGGCGCCCCTGATTTGAGAACTTTTTTTAAATAAACATCTTAATATGATGAATTTCCCTCTAAGCATAGCTTTAGCTGCATCCAACAATTTTTGATATGTTGTATTTTCATTTTCATTCAGTTCAAAAATCTTTTCTAAGATTCTACTTAGAAGTGTGGTTTAATTTACAAATACTTGATAATTTTCCAGATATCTTTCTGCTATTGATTTCCAGTGTAAGTCCATTATGGCTAGAAAATATATTTTATGTGATTTCTATTCTTTAAAATCTGCTAACGTTGCTTTTATAGCTCAGAATGACCACATATATTTTGGTGAATGGTTCAAAAGTGTCCCAAAAGAATATGCATCCTGTTGTTGGGGGGAGTGTTCTATAAATTAGGTCTAATTGGTTGATAGTATTGTTCAAGACTTTAATATCCTTGCTGATTTTGTCTACTTAGTCTTTCAATTCCTGAGAAAGGAGTGTTGAAATCTCTAAGTATAATTATGGATTTGTCTATTTGTTCCTTCAGTCCTACCACTTTTTACTTCATATATTTTGTTAGGTGTATACACATTTAGGATTTCTACATCTTGATGAATTGACTCTTTTAACATTAGTTAATGTCCCTCTTCAAACTAGTAGTATTCACTGTCCTAAACTTTACTTTGTTTAACATTAATATGGCTAGTTTTTCTTTCCTTTGATTTGCCTTTGCATGGAATATCTTTTTTCATTCTTTTATTATTTTATCTATAATAGGTTTTTTGTATACAGCATATAGTTGTGTCCTGTATTTTTATCTGATTTAACTATCTCTACCTTTCAGTTGGTATGTTTAGACAATTACATTTAATGTAATTAATGATGTGGTTAGATTTTTTAAAATTTTATTGAGCTAGAGTTGACATACATCACTGTATAAATTTCAGTTGTACAATATAATGGTTTGACTTACATATATTTTGAAATGATTACTGTAGTAAGTTTGGTTAGCATCATCATCTCATACAGAAAAAAAAAAAAGAGAAAGCAAAAAAAATTTTTTTTCCTTGTAATGAGAATGGATATATAGATAGGTTGGATTTAAGTCTACCACTTTATGATTTGTTCTCAGTTTGTCTCCTCTGTTTTGTCCCAATGTTCTCGATTTTAGTGGGTCTTAGGATTCTTAATATACCTAAATTTTCATAGTCTATGTAAAGTTGATATTTTACAACTTCAAGAAAATGTCAAAGCTTTCAGCATACCAGTTCCTTTTCCTTCCCTACTTTGTCTCTCAGTTATGATATGTATTATATCTAGCACATTAAAGAAACACACCAAAAAAATGTCACAATTTTTGCTTTCAATAATCATACTTATTTTTAAACTTGAGAGAAAAACATTCCATTACATTTACCCCAATATTTACCCATTCTTTTTGCTCTTCCTTCATTATTGAAGTTCCAAGTTTTCTTCTGATAAAATTTCTCCTCAGCTTGAAAAAGTTCTTGTAGCATGTCATTCAGAACAGGTCTGCAGGTGACAAATTCCCTTAGTTTTTTCATCTGGGAATGGCTTGATTTTACCTTAATTTCTAAAGAATATTTTTATTGGATATAGAATTCTCGGTTGATAGCTTTTCCCCCCCCTTATCACTTTAAATATGTTATTCCATTGTCTTCTGGACTGTATGGTCTCTGATGAGAAATCTGCAATAATTCAAACAATTTTTCCAATATGCAATGTGCTATTTTTTTCCTTGTTGCTTTCAATATTTTTTTTAAAGATTTTATTTATTTATTTGACAGAGAGAGATCACAAGTAGGCAGAGGCAGGCAGAGAGAGAGAGGAGGAAGCAGGCTCCCCACTGAGCAGAAAGCCTGATGCGGCGCTTGATCCCAGGACCCTGGGATCATGACCTGAGCTGAAGGCAGAGGCTTTAACCCACTGAGCCACCCAGGCGCCCCACAAGATTTTTTTTTTTTAATCTTGGTTTTCGGAAGTTTGATTATGTTGTGTCAGGGCATGTGTCAGGGCATGGTTTCTTTGAGTTTATCCTGTTTGAGCTTCACTGAACTTCTTGAGTCTGGTATTACACCAAATTTGGGGGCATTTTAAACCATTATTTCTTCAGATACAATTTCTGCACGAGTATCTTTCTTCTCTGAGATTCTAATGACATGAATATTAGACTTTTTTTTTAAAAGATTTTATTTATTTATTTGACAGACAGAGATCACAAGTAGGCAGAGAGGCAGGCGGCAGGGTGGGGGAAGCAGGCTCCCTGCTGAGCAGACAGCCCAATGTGGGACTTGATCCCAGGACCCTGGGATCATGACCTGCGCTGAAGGCAGAGCCTTTAACCCACTAAGCCACCCAGGTACCCCGAATATTTGACTTTTTTTTTTTAAGATTTTATTTATTTATTTGACAGAGAGAGATCACAAGTAGACAGAGAGGCAGCCAGAGAGAGAAAGAGAGAGAGGGAAGCAGGATCCCTGCCGAGCAGAGAGCCCGATGTGGGACTCGATCCCAGGACCCTGAGACCATGACCTGAGCCGAAGGCAGCGGCTTAACCCACTGAGCCACCCAGACGCCCACCGAATATTTGACTTTTTGATGGTGTCTCACAACTACCTGAAACCCTGTTAATTTTTTTTATTTGTTTTTTTCAGATTGTGTAATTTTTGTTAACATAGCTGCAAGTTCACAAACTCTTTTCTCTATCATCTCCAATTTCCTATTGGTCCCAGACAGTTAATTTTTATTTAAGGTATTTTATTTTTCAATTCTAAAATTCCCGTTTCAGGGGCACCTGGGTGGCTCAGTGGGTTAAGCCGCTGCCTTCGGCTCAGGTCATGATCTCAGTGTCCTAGGATCAAGCCCCGCATCAGGCTCTTTGCTCAGCGGGGAGCCTGCTTCTCTCTCTCTCTTTCTCTCTCTCTCTCTGCCTGACTCTCTGCCTACTTGTGATCTCTCTCTCTGTCAAATAAATAAATAAAATCTTTAAAAAAATAAAATAAAAATAAAATAAAATTCCCGTTTCATACTGTTTTTTTTTTTTTTAAATCACTTTTAATAGTTTTGCTAAGAACATCTATCTTTTCATTCATCCCAACAGTGTTCATCTTTACCTCATGGAACACGTTTAAAATGTCTACATAAAGTCTTTATCTGGGGGAAAAAAAAATGTCTTCAGTTGCTAATTTCAACATCTTGGTAACCTCAGGATTGGCATCTGTTGATTATTTTTTTCCTTGAGAATTGATCACATTATCCTGTTCTTTGTATGTCAAGTAAATTTGTATTGTAGTCTGGACATTTTTAATATGATGTTTTGAGGCTCTTGGTCTTATTAAATTCTCCTGAATATATATATATATATATATATACATACATATACATATATATATATATATGTATGTATTTTTAACAATCAACCTGGTGTATGGGTTAGACTGCAAGTTCTGCCTCACCTTCTCTTGGATGTAATTTCAATGTCTGTTAAGTCCTTAAAATCTTTTGACATGCTGCTTTGTTTTGAGTCTACACGTAGACTCTTGCTTCTCAAGGGTCATTTAGGTCCACCCTGTGCATGTGCAGCTCAGGAGTGATCCCAGAACTTACTTATGTGTTGGCTCATTTACAGAATTAGGAATGTCTCTGTCTCTCGCTCTCTCTTTGGATTTCTCCCACCTTCTGGCTTCCAGGAACACCTTTTCCAAGTCCTCTATCTAGAAAGTTGGGTTTTCTCTCACAATTTACTGCTTGTGCCAATACAATTGTACAACTGGGTCCATGTTTAGGGCAGTAACATGAGAACAGAGGTAGAGAGAAAAGGGGTTTCTCTCTTCCACACACACACACACACACATGTCCTCTGGGGCATAAGTTCCCTGTGTTCTTGCAGTTGCCACCTCCATTTCCACCACAAAGTGGGCTTCTGGAGTCATCCTCAGACAGGGTTGGGAGAGGAAAGAGATGAAGATTCTACCCATTCTCTCATAAAGTCACAAGTCTTAGGGTCCCTTTTCCTAGACCTTCTGCCAGAATGAGAGAGTTTTACTCAGATTTTGTGTCATGCGCCTGCTGCTTAGTTTAACACCAGGACAAGCTTCAGGTCAAAGTTGGGAGATGAAAGAGAAAAGAAATCTGGGAAACTCATCCAGTAAGAGTTGCTTTTTAAATTGATGCTTTCTGGGGTGCCTGGGTGGCTCAGTAGTTAAATGTCTGCCTTCAGTTCAGGTCATGATCCCAGGACCCTGGGATCGAGCCCCGAATTGGGCTCCGTGCTCTTCAGGGGACCTGCTTCTCCCTCCCCCACTCCCCCTGCTTGTGTTCCCTTTCTGCCTGTCTCTCTCTCTGTCAAATAAATAAAAATCTTTAAAAATATGTTACTTTCTTCCCCAATCCATCTGCTGTTAATAATTTTAAAAAACAAGTAGTTGGTTTTCATAATTGACCCATGTTTTTTGCATCAGTCAGGGGAAGTGAGGGAAAGGAAATGTGTTTGCTTGGTCTCGGCCAGCACGGCACTGAAAGAGAATCATTTCTTTGTAAAGAAATTAAGAGGGGCACCTGGGTGGCTCAGTGGGTTAAGCCTCTGCCTTTAGCTCCGGTCATGATCTCAGGGTCCTGGGATCGAGCCCCACATCGGACTCTCTGCTCGGTGGGGAGCCAGCTCCCGCCCCCCCGCCCCGTCTGCCTGCCTCTCTGCCTACTTGCAATCTCCATCTGTCAAATAAATAAATAAAATCTTAAAAAAAAAGAAATTAAGAAAATTAAGAGAACCTTAATCTTAGGGAAATTAAGATTTTAATGTCTAATAAGTATCAGGTAGGTAAGGAGAGCTTGGACAAGGCAATAGAGAGGACTCTACAGGAGGCTCTTCTGACTGATCTGCAACTTTGAAGTATGGCCTGAGAGATTCTCTCATATCAGGCTTGCAGGTCAAGTGAACATCTCCGGGTCTAGCTCTGTGTGAGAGGACAGAGGATGGGGAGGTCTGGAGATGATGACAGTGAAAGGAGAAAAAGAGAGGGGCTAGAACACTGGGCAAAGGAGCTCAGAATCCCTTTCCCTGGAAGCCCTGTGGAATCAATGGAAGGTGACCATGTTGGTGGGGTTCTGCCTCTACAGAGTGGTTCATAAGCCCTGGGAAATCCTGGCATCATTCCCCAAAGGCTATGAAGTGATCATGGAATTTCTGATGCAGAAACTGACTCCATACCAGAAATCAAAGGGACAGGAGACCAGCCACGGGATGGAGATCTCTCCATTGATTGTATGGAGGGGCCCATAGAGGGTGCTGGGTGCTGGGTGGGGAGCCTCCTGGTGTCCTGCCCCACGCTGTCTTGAGCTCTTTGGGCTTCTCCCTTTTACATATCCATGTTTGGTTGAACATCCTAATGACAGAGTCTTATGGTGGTTGGAGGGAGGGTTTTCTAGTTGTCTCTGCCTTGTAGGGTGACAGAAGAACTAGCTTCTCCGTCTCCCTTGGTGAGCTTAGGTAAGACAAACACCCCAGCATGCCTTAACTCTCCAAGCCTATGAGAGAATAAAACCACCACCACAATGATGAGACTATTCTAACATTCTAGAAATTTCTCCTTATTTTCTTGGCTCACAATAATTCAGTTTTGACTTGCTCTGGCAGTGTGGGCTTTTCTTGGCCAGGCCATCATGGTGATAGGTTATGGGCAGAGATTTCACGGGGACAAGACCTGAGACATGAAGTCGATGATGCCCCTGCTCTCCTCCCCACCCTCAGGCCACCAGGGCCATCCAAGAGCTCCTGCTTGAACCAAGTCGGCGGATGGAGATTCATACCTTCTTCTCCTCCCTGTTTATGGCCTTGCTCTTCCGGATCTCCTTTCTCGTGCTTGAAGGGGACACGGACATCCAGGATGAGCAACATATAACCGGATGGGTGGACCCTGTCAGGTACCTTTGGCCTCTGGGCCAGAGTTCCTAGTGACCGTGCTCCAGGCCCATCTGGCAGCCATGTCTGGTTATTCCCCTACTAATTGCCTGCCCTGATCCCAGGCTGCTGGTTTGGGACACCCTTGTCACACCTCCCGTGTAGGGCACAGTGTGTGCTCCCCATTCATCATTTCAACAAGTCTTACTGGACTTTTTAGAAAAGGCTCTTTATTTCTGACTTCCTGAGCTGATGCCAAGATTCTGTACCCAAGTGAAATCAGTATAACGGATAAAACAGCGCCTCTGAGCTCTACTCTCCACCTTCTGTGGGCTTCCTGCACCACCTCAGGGACCCCCACATCTCTCTTGGCCTTGGTTTCTCATTTGTGAAATGTTAGCCCGGGTCTCTCAGGGCTGTGCCAATACCAGTGGTTCATGATTTGCATAGACAGGCAGGTGCAGGTGAGGGAGAGGAGCACAGATGGTGGGGGAGGACTTCCAGTCTGCTTTCTGCCTTTTCTCCAGTTGCAGCATAGAGGCCCTGAAGACCTTGATGCTAAGTACCGGGTATGGAGACCACGTGTCTTATGTTCAGAAACTTGGGGGCTGGGAGCTGCTCAGCAGTCCCGAAAGACACTATGAGGGGGTCACTCTGCTGGCCAGGTAGGCCTCACTCTTGTCCCTGGCCAGACGACCTCCCATCCTGTTGGTTCTCTCCTGGGGCCCAGGCCTGCTCCTGAGCTCTCTACTCTCATCGGCAGGACCATGGTCATCAAGAACTGTTGGCACAACAGCCCCATCTTCAGTTTCATCATCAGCATGCTCCAAGACCTGAACTACACGAATCACTTAACGGCCTTCGTGTTCATGACGGAAGTGAGTGGTTCTTGGTGGGAGGAGGGCGGGTGAGAGTGGTTCCTCTGGAAGGCAGCTCTACCCAAGGGACACCTCCAGGGATGGCTGGTGGAGGAAGGGTGGCCTACTTCACTGTGGCTCCCTGTCCCATAGAAGGGCCGGGGGACACGGTTAATGACAGTTAGGCACCTTGAGTCACAGGCTTGGAAAGTACCTGATGTAATTCCTCCTTGAATCTTAAGGCAGCTTAGCTCTGTCCCAACCTCATGGGAAGTCCTAGATCTTTCCTTCAGCCACCTTGACCTTCATTAGCCTTTGAAGTGAATCTTTACTCAGTACTACTGATTGACTCAATGTATTTCAGCCATTTGACAGAAAAAAAGGTGTAGAAAATTTAGAACATGTGAAAACGAACTTTAAAAATTATAAAACCATTAATGGGCACAATACCTGGGGGAAACCACTTTTAGGTTTTGGCCTGTTTGGAGGGGGGCTTTGTGTGTGTGTGTATTTCTGTGTGTGTGTGTGTGTGTGTGTGTGTGTGTTTCATATCTAACATCATTCTCTACTAATACTGTATCTTGCTCTCTTTAAGCATCTTCAAACATAAATTATAACGGTAATGTAATATTTCATCACAAAGAAGTTCTATAATTTATTGGACATTTTTTTCTGGTTTTACTATTTATAATTTTACTATTTACTATTATAAATAACACTGTAGGGGACATCTCTGTGCAAAAGACTTTGCCCATATTCCAGATTATTTCTTTAAATGTTGACTATACGTAGAAGTGTTGATTGAAAAAAAATATGAATGTCTTCTAGGATTTTTTTACATTAATGCCAAATTATTTTCCAGTAAAATTGTACCAAATTATTCTTCCACCAGCAGTGTCTGGGAAACTTTTGGGATTTTTTGGCTCACTGTAACTTTAAGTAGGCTCCCTTCAAGATTCAAGCCACCTGATTTTTTTTTTTTTTTTTAACATGGAGCAGGACTACATTAGACCATGACAGAAGACAATGCAGGGCTGATACTGGAATCTAAGCAGATATTGCCCTGACCTGGGTTGTAGGCCGTGGTCTTGCTGGAAGGTGCCCATGGCCGTGAGCAAGTACACGTGCACTGGCAAGGGGTGCTGGTATACGCATTCAAGGATGATGTTGTGTTGGCAGAACCCCTGCTAGGGATGTGGGAAACACAGCTAGGATCGACATCCGCTCTAGAAGCTCCCCCAAACGCATAAAACCCAACTGAAGCAAGCGGCCGTGTGGATAGCAATTATTCATCTGCTACCGTTACTGGATTTGCAGGCTGAGGAGCTTGGAGGGAGGCGTCGGCAGGCGGGGGAGAAGGCTGAGACCCCACCAAAGGAGATGAGGGAGCCTTGCTCCGAGCTGTTCACCCCAGAACCAGTTTTAAAGTGGAGAACCAATGGGGTTTTATGTAGCAGCTAAGACAGCTGAGCACAATCTATAAACAAGAGGCACGAGCTTGAAATGCTTTCTAATATTTCACAGCCCCTTGCAACGTCCCTGTTTCCTTACCCACGGATGACCCCAAGTAGAAACACTGAAAACAGGGCCATGTACTTTCCTTCAGGGCGCTCAAGGAACAGGTGAGCTCACTGACACTGATTTTCACGGCAATTCTGAAAAAGACGTTCATATTTCTGTTTTGTAGAGGATGAAACTGAAGCTCAGAGTTTGAGAACCATGCTGGGCTAGCGCGTAAATTACGCGGGTCCCTGGGGGCTGTCAGTCAAAGACAGGTGGAAATGCCGCTGTGTCCGCGGGAACGTTTTTGCCAGTAGAATCGCACCCACGAACACATACATTTGTTCGTGTATGCACACACACAAAAGCAAGTTCCTCTGGTTTAAACGTATCTGATTCGCTTTTTTGTCTTTTAAAATTTTTATTTCAAATGACATAGAGACCCACATAAATTTTACGTAAATATACAAATGAGATCACGTTGTGCTATTTTTTAAATTGTAGCCTTAAAAAAAAAAAATCTTTCCTATTTTTGCTTCTCTCCCTTCTGCTGTATCATTTCTACCTGCCACCTCTTCCTCTCCGAGGTATTTCAGAGGCAAGCAACCAAATATGTATCCTTCCATATTTTTCTCCATGGTCAAATAAGCTATACATAGCTATGGATAAATATCTGGGTGCATTTCTTACTTTTCTCCTCTACAGCTCCCCTCATCAAAGATGCCTGAGGAAAACCTGTAGAATGGATGAATGACTTCTGGAATGATGGAGTGTGAAGTTATCTCTCAAATGTGCTTTGGCCTCTTTATCTGTCCTTCCAAATCCTTAGGAACATCTCTCTCTTTTTTTTAGATTATTTATTTATTTAGATTATTTATTTATTTATTTGAGAGAGAGAGAGAGAGAGCATGAGAAGGAAGAAGGTCAGAGAGAGAAACAGACTCCCCAATGGAGCTGGGAGCCTGATGTGGGACTCGATCCCAGGACTCTGGGATCATGACCTGAGCCGAAGGCCGTCACCCAACCAACGGAGCCACCCAAGCGCCCCAAGAACATTTCTTTATAAATAGAAACCTAGATTCAAGGTCACTGGGAATTTTTGTTCTCCTTGGCCATCATTTCAGTTTTCTTGGTCTTCTTTTGCCAGCTGCTCCGGTGCCCAGGGGTGGCGGCCATAGCAGATGAAGCCACTCTCCGCATATTGGCAAACTGGTTCCAACATGAGGAGCCCACCACGGTGAAGCTCTTGCTGCGGATGGTGGTGATTTTTGCAAAGCACGGGAACATGGTAAGATGGAGCGGGGTCAAGGGTATGCTCTCAAGAGATCTTGTCACCCAGAGAAGCAAGTGAAAGGCCTGGAGTTCTGGTGTGTCGTTATAGATGAGGTAGACCACACTCTTGGGACTGGGCGGAGGGAACCCTCCTGAAGCCAGCACTGGATACAGGGGTTGAGGACCTGAGCCATTCATGCTCAAAAGAGGAGGTTTTCCCATGGGTCATTTCGGAGTTAAGGCCAAGCCAATTCCAAGAGCCCAGACCATCCAGGTGTCCCAGGGACCAGGGACGCTAAGGGCAATGGAGCTGAGAACTTCTGGGTATAGTGGGAGGAGGGCTCTCCTCTGCCTTCTCCCCTTTTCCCATGAGGACAGAAGTCCTCCTGGGCAGCTCCCCACCGAAGGCCACCCATTTACCAGCCCCGTCCCCGTCCCAGAATGAAACAGGGTAGAGTGTCGCAGTTCTGGCTTTCATTTGTGGAGCCTCTTGAATAGAAATGCGAGTCCCTTGACGTGGCAAGAGTCATTCCCTGGACACCTCTTTTCCTGAGCAGCCGTCACTCTGCAGGTGCGACAGCTCCGTGTCCTCCAGCCCTATGTGCTGAACTGCTGCTACTCCCTGGACAGCGACATCGTCACGGAGACATTCGCGGCGCTCAAGTGTCTCACGCAGCTCCTCAGCTGGCGGCAGAACGCCTCTTTCTTCGTTCAGCTCTCCTTCACGCTTGGGCCCTTCTTTGAGGAGGTGAAGACCTTAGCGGGGTCATTTCCCTTCTCTGGGCGTCCAAGGGAAACGGGCAGAATTATCTGGAAAGGCCCCTGTCGCCTGAATGGGAGGCTGTTCTGGAAAGGTCTGCTTGTGTATGTCCTCTTGGGTAATGGCTGTGAAAGGCGGGAGACGTATCGAGAGCAGACAACAGTCTCCAGGGAGAACGAGGATGTGGTAGGATCACAGCAGATCACCGGGGAAGGAAGTGTGCATGGCAGTGTGTGCTGGGAGCGGGAGCTTGGGGGCCGCCTGTCCCCACTGGGTGGACACAATTGGAGGTGTCTTCTTTGTGTCTGTGTGTGTCTTCTCCCCCAGGAGTCAGAGCACCTGCGCCTGATGGCCTTTGAGACCTACAGGGCTCTCTTGGCTAAGGTCAAGAGGAGAGTGCTTGTCTTCCCCTTGAAGCACCAGGTTCTCAACTTGATAGTCCCCCTCGTGCTCCACCTGGAGGATGTGAATGTCAGCGTGGCTCAGGTGAGAGGCTGTCCCGGAGCCCCGTCTTCTGTCGTCGGTCACAGAAGGTAGATGCTAAGGAAGAGGCTGTAGCGAAATTGAAAGATGCTGGAGGAGTTGCTTTGTCTCTGACCTTGGAGAGTTGCAGGGAGGGGCCAGGTGTGACCAGATGCTTGCACCAGGGGTTTCTCTCCTTCCCGGCTCTCTCCAGCTGGCCACCAGCACACCATGGAATGCCCTGGGTGGGAAGACTCCAAGGAGGAAAATCGCAGCGCCTGGCACAGTGCCTCTCTCCAGTTCTCTGCCCTTGGCCTTCCCTCCAAGTTGTTCCCTGCATACTCCCTTGCGTTGAATTGAGAACACCACCCCCGCCCCCACCAGCAGCAGCAGCACAGAGGTTCCCATGAGGCAGGACAGAGAGCCTGGCATTGGTCCATGTTTTGGGGGGCCAGGGATGTGAATGGCAGCTGGGGAAAGTTGGAAAGTGGCTGATGCGGTTGGTAACAGGACGCTGGGTTTCCAGATGAGGCCACTTTGCCATGGCAAGGCCTCTGTTGGGCAAAGGTGCCGAAGCTGCTGGAAGACTTTGGGGAAATCTGTTTCAGAGAGTCTGTTTTGAGGTGTGGGAAGCCATGCTGTGGGTGCACGAGGCTGGGACGTAGAGAATTTCCCAGCAGCTGAGAAAGTGATTACAAGCAGGCGTCTTGACCTGCTCGTTAGTGGGAAACAGTTGTAGGCACAGCCAAGCTGCCTTGAGGACCCTGCCTCTCTCTGCACCCCTGGGTCCATCTGGGTTCACTGGAGTCTTCCCTCCCTCCAGGACTGGACTCACTGCCACCTGTCTCCCCTCCTCGTGCCCTTCTTTGTCTTCTCCCCGCCCTGTCCCCATAGCTCCTCATGCTGGGCCTTCCTGTCTCTCCAGATCTGCCGGCCTGCGCTCTGCCACACGGCCGTCATACTGGGCTGGTCAAGGCTCAAAGTGATTTTTGCCGAGAAAGATGTATGGACTATCCTCAGAGCCCTGGTAAGGCAGCAGCTCCCTCACCATCCTGCTCCATGCAGGGAGGATGGGGTGGCCGACAGTCTGTTTCCTGAGCTGTCTGGGGTTTGCTACAGTTCAACAATGAGGGGCTCAGTGAGCACCTGCTTTGTGCCCAGCACCTGGCCCTGGTTCCTGCCCTCCCATTGCTCCCTGTCTAAGTTGGGGAACTCGACACCCAATTAGACAAATTCAGAACTAAAACAGAGGAATGTACTTCATAGCACAAAGGAAGGGTGCCCAGCCCAGTCTGGGAGTTGAAGGATGGCTTCCTGGAGGAGATGTCATGTGTGAGGAAGGGAAATGGAAAACAGGATATCACTTAGGCAAAGAGAAGGTCTCAGGAGTGCAGGCTGAGGTGCTGCTGCACCAGGGATCATAGCAAAGCCCTCACTATGTTCCAGGGCCTTTGCATAGGTCATTTTCTGTAATTTGATCCTGAGAAATAAGGGCAGAAGAGCCTGGCGTGGAGGGAGCTGTTAGTGGTTTGGAATCACGCGAGCACAAGCAGAAAAACTCAAATGCCTACAAGGCCATGAAGAGAACATTAATCAGACAAACAAACTGGGTGGCCCTGGAGGGGAATCGAAGATCCTGGGGTCCGGTGAAGGCAGCGCCTCTCAGCACGGTCAGACACCAGACAGCCTTGTTCTAGTTCATTCTCAGTAACTCCTCCTTTACTATCCTGGAATGAAATTCACGTATATCCCAAAATTAATATAATGCCCTAACTCCAAAGGAGAAATGAACATAATTTTAAATCAAATAATGTGTAAGTATGTATGTAACACAATATAACATAAATGACGTGACTATATGACATGATATGCTATAACATGACATAATGGAAAGTGATAAAACATAACATAAATAATAGATGGGAGGACCTGGGACCCACTCCTCTGGAGGACACGATGAAGTGGTTGACTCCTTGACCCTCTCTGTGGAACCTCTTTGACCTGACCTCTTACAAATGTGGAATGGTACTGGGCTGCTGTGTTGGGGACTCCAATGCCACGAGAATTGTGGCCGTTGGTGGTGGGACTTCCAGAGAGATGGACAATGTTTGGTGAAAGGCTACACAGAATGAAGTGCAGTCTTTCTTTGCTTCATATTGTAGATGCATCTCCAGGAAACCCAGTGTGTGTTTGAACTGTGAAAAAAATATTCTGTGTCTATGTAAAAGACAGGGTCAGGTTCTGGGCCCAGATAATTAGAAATAGAGTTTTTGATACAAATATGCAGTGGGACATTAGAAATTAGGATACTCCCTCTCATCATTTTGCCCACCAAAACATCCCCCCAGTTCTACAATTCCCCTGGGACAGTACGGTCCCCAGCTGAGAGGACCTATTGAAAACCAACCTAAAAGAAAGAAAGAAAGAAAGAAAGAAAGTAAGTCAATCTATTGGGTCTATGGTATAGAGTGGGCTCAGTGTTGCTTGATTTTCCACTTTGTTAAGACAAGCAGGAGATCCTGATTTTAAGTGAATTTGCCACATTTTTTTGGCAAATAATTTACAATATTTGTGTGGAGCAAATGAAAAAATCTGCAGGCTGGTTTTGGCTCATGAACTGGAGGTGTGCAGTCTTGGCATGGGAAGCAGGAAGCAGGAGCTGGGGCTGTACTGTGCAGTGAGGGCTTGGGCACAATAAGGAGCAGGACTTCACGCTATAGGCAGTAGGGAGCCACTGAAGTGCTCTAAGGAAGCGGCACCATGGTTAGAGAGCTGTGTGCTTTAGACAGATAAGCTGTTGCAGATTGGAGGATAAGTTCACATGGGACAGGACTGGGGTCTGTGGTTGAGAGGATCCAGGGAGAGAAGATGAGGTCATGAAGACAAAGACATGGAGGGATTAGCCAGGACTGGAGAGCTAATTGATGTGGAGTGTGAAGGTAAAGGTCAGCTCTTGGGTTTCTGACTTGGGTGAATGCTATGCTGGTGTCACAGACTGGTGTCAGGTATACAGAGGGAGGAGCAGGGGTGGAGAGGATTGATTTTGTACATGTCAAGTTTGTAGAGCTGGGGAGATCTATCCCACTGGAAATAGATATAATCACTGAATCACTGAGGCTTGGAGAACAGAGCTGCACTGGAGATATGGATATGTGGACCCTGAGCTCAGGAGAATTGCATAGCGGGGGAAGCGTCTGGTTTGACATCAGGATCCCAGGAAACCTCGGTTCCAAGTTTCCCATGAAGGAGACCAAGAAAGGAAACCAGGCCAAGAAACAGAAGGGGAACAAGAAGAGAGGAGGGTGGTGGTCCCTTAGGCAGAAGACAGTTTCAGGAAGTGATGAGAGGTCGGCAGTGGGTGGTGACTGTAGCGGGAGTGGACATGTGTGTTGGCTTTGGACCATGGAAGCCAGGTCTGGATCAGCGGGGTGGTGCAAGGAGACCAGGGTGCCAGAATCCAAGGGTTTCTCAGGGTAATCTGAAACCTGGGGGAGATAAACAGCAGGTGGGGCTCTGCCTTCACACCCCCTTTGACAGGAGCAGTCCCCCTTCTGTTGGTTCAGAACCTGAGATTTCCTGTGAGGATTTTTATTTGAAGAAGAGTTGTGCTACCAAAGAGTTTTGACAGACCATGGATGTAGCCTCCTCGTTTGAGAACTCAGGCTGCAGTGTAAAGGGGGAGTAGGAGACTCACTGGAAAGGACGCATAGGAGATGGGGTTAGGTATTTTCAAAAGGCAGAACGTGTCATCCCCCAGAACCTTCAAGGGAGGGCGTCTGGATGAACGCAGAAGTGGGTGCCCCTAGACAGGGAAAGGAAGGTATTAAAACACTTAATTACATGTAACCACGCTAGGCTCTGTTTAAATAGAAGGGTGTAGATATAATTGATTCTATTGTAGCCTAGAGCAGATGACCTTGAGATGGAAGATTTTAAGCCAAGACGTACATAAACAATATTGAAACAACTGGGTTCATTCCCCTATGGTTGGCAGTAGGAGGAATGTGTGAGGGAACGACTGGGGTAAATCTTTTGGAAAGAGGTCCCCCTGTCAGTCCAGGAAGGCTTTATGGAGGAAATAAGACTTCAGGAGCTCCCATCCCTTCAGGATGGGAGGGAATGGGTGATGTTGCATTTTAAAAAATAATTTATGTTTTAAGTCATCTCTATACTTAATGGGGGCTCAAACTCGTGACCCCAAGATCAAGAGTTGCATGCTCCCCCAATGAACCAGCTAGGCACCTCTAGAACGTTCCAATCAGGTTTTGCACTGAGAGGATGTCTCCAGGCTGTGTGAGGGGGGCAGAAGAACTGGCGGTGGGCACCTTATCTAAATCAGCTCGTCTTCCTGCAGCTGAAGCAGAAGGCAAACAAGGCCCCCTGGTTTCTGAAGCAGTGTGTGGCCTTCTTCAAGAGCCCACAGGCCCCCATCCGCCAGACAGCAGTACGGTTTGCAGGTACCCTTTCTCTCTTCTTGGAGCCACTGTGTCCTTGTCCTGGCGTCCTTCAAGCAGCCTGAGGACTTGGGGCACAAGGGTATAAGGGCCCGAGCTAACCCTGGAGGGTGGAGGGGCTCCCTGTGCAGCCCCCAGGACCGTTCTGGCGATAGTCCACATACTCCCCACCCATCCCCTCTGCCCCTCCTCCTCCTCCCCCTGCAGCAGGCTCCTGGGTGGGTTGGGTGACCTTTCCTACAGTGGAATGGGCCTCGTCCTGGCCGGCCAGGCCAGCAAGGCTCCCAAGGGGCAGGGCGTCAGGGTGTGGGTCCTGCTCTACTATGATGCTCAGAGGCTGGTGAGGACTGCTTCCTGTAACCCCAAGGAAAAGTGTCCTTAGAGCTGAGGCATCCCCTCCCCCTCCCCCAGCCCCATTTGCCGATGACCCTCAGAGGAGCAGGGGAATTAATTTCTCTTTGTGCGAAAAGTCTGGGCAAGGCCAGTTAGGGGGAGTGAGAGAAAAAAAGGAGGGGTCTGTTTTGGGAAGAAACAGAAGAGCAGGTCCAGCCGGGGTCCTGTGGTCCTTTGTGGGCCCCTGAGGTGCTCTGTGCGCTCCCATAGGCCAGATCATCCAAACCCTCGACAGGAGAGAAGTTGGTGATATCGAGGACGTATACGCAGGTGAGTGGGAACCCAGGCACAACTCCTTGTAGCTTTTAAGGGCACCACTGTTATTGAGGAAATCTCAGAAATGAGGGAAGATGGGCACGTGGCAGGCAAAAATGATCCTTGGAAAGAATGAAGAGGGAGGCTTGCCTTTAAGGCCTCTGGCTTTGGGGCGTCAGCCAGAACCCCCTGCCCCTCATTTTCCATCACTGACTGACCCTCACCCCCGCTGAACTCCAAGTTGTTTAGCAGCCAGGACCGTTGCTAGAACTCTCGAGAGAAAGGCCATCCAACTTTTTCTCACCTGGGGAACACAAGGGTTCCCAGCCCTTCCTAGCCATTGTCCACACCTTCTCTGCCCATCCCTCTGAGACCTGCCACGCCCCCCCCCAAAGCCCCGCTCGTCCCTTTTCCTCTGTCTTGTCTCAAGCACCCTATCCCCGCACTGCTGCGTCCCCCGGGGCCGCCCAAATCTCTGGCTGTACTCTCTGTGAAGTCAGAGGACTTTGCTTGTAGCTATTCTCTGGAAAAGAGGAGGGCAGAGGGGGCAGGAGGGAGGTGGTGAAGGGGGCCGAGAAGGTTGGTTGTGGAGGCAGGACAAGAACAAGCCAGCCTCACATCTCCCTGAGCCTGGGGCAAGTATGTCCCCCTGCTTGTGACTGAGAAGGGTGGCCTCCTGGTGGGGATCTCACTCATATTTTAAAAGCCGCCAGTCCCCGTCCCGCTGCACTGCCCCTGTCTGCCAGCTGTGAGGGGCCCAGACCTGGCGTCCAGCCCAGCAGCCTGACTTTGTTCCAAGCACCTTAGCAGTCTCCGTGTTGCAGCCCTAAGGTCCATGCAGGAAGACCCCGACCCCATGGTCAGCTGCCTCGCCACTCAGACCCTTTACATCCTGGAAGCCAAGGAGAAGCAGCTGGCCAACACCCCTACCTCCTGCTTCTGCAGCCGGAGGCCTTGAAAGGGCCACTCCTGAGCCTGCGTCCTTGGGACCTGGCCAGGGCAGCTGTGACTGTGACAACCGCGACAGGGGGGCCTGGCTCCCGAGCCCCACCCTAGAAGTGGCTGTGTGCCCCCGCAGACCCTCTGTAATAAAAGGAAGAAGCATGAACTTCTGTGGAGTTGGTGTCTCCTGGCCTTTCCACTTTGTTCTGCGGGGCAGACCATTCGCCGTGGGCTGCCTCCTTGGCGGTGACCATCTGGTCCAGGCTGGCCTCTCCCAGCTCCGTGGCCCCTACCACGCCCTTCGCCCACGTGACCAGGTGATGGGAGGCTGGAGCTGGAGACGCTGGCCATCAGCTTGAACTACAGACTGGGAGGAAAGGGCATGCTGGGACACGGGAGGTGTTCTAGACCTTAGTGGCGCTGGGCGGGTTCCCAGTGGCGAGCACGGAGTCCACTCTGGCAGCTTGAAGCAAGGCGGAGAGTGACAGGAGGGCGTTAGTCGGCTCATAAAATATCCCGGGAGATCAGAGAGTTTGGATATCACACGTCAGGAACAGGGCGGTTCTGCAAAAACGCCCATGTGGTTGTCCCTTTGCGCAGCCGAGACCGCAGCCCGGGTGACAGCATTTGGGCGGGGACATCAGAAACTCGGTCCCATGTGTCCGGAGAGCCAGAGGCTTCCTCCTCCCACTCCTGCAGCTGAGCTGGGAGCCCACTCTCTCCCGGGGCTCCTGTTGGAATCCGTCTAACCCGGGGGCCCTCGGACTGTCCTGGAAGTTTACCCTCAGGTCTACGCAGGCTTATTTGCTGCCCCCATGCCCCCATGCCCACCCCCACCTGCCTTTGGAGTCAGCCAGGCCCCAAAGCTTGGGGGATAGGGACAGTAACCAATGTCCTAAAAGGTAGGCTCCCCCACGGTCAAACCTGCTCTGACTTGGGACCGAGCGAGGGCCATGGTGAAGGAGACACTCAGGCTCGCTTGGGCTCTTGCCCTGTAGTGCCCAGCCTCTGTCGCTTGCATTCAAGCCCCCAGGAACGTGTGGAGTCCTCCCCTCGCTCACTCTCTCTGCCCCCGGGGTGGCCACACTCCTCCCAGCATTATGTCCCCTGGGGGCCGCAGCCAGCATCTCTTGGACCCGCACACACACTCCTCACAGCAGGCGGTGCTCCAGCCCACACGGAGGTCTGCATTGGCCAGAAGCCGCTGCTCACGCACTCCCCTCGGCCTGGTCTCTGGGTCCCCCATCAGCAGCTGGGGGCCTCGCCATGGAGGTGAGTGGGGAAGAGCACAGGACAGTGGTGGGCGCATGGTCCCTTCCCTGCCCTCCGAAGCACAACCAGGTCAATATGTTGGGATTGGACCCACTTCGGAGACTGTTCTGGTTCCCCCCACAGATCACCCCGCTCACGTTGGTCAAGCCAAGTTTAAGAGGCACGATGGGAAGAGACCACGTGGGGGAAGGAATCTCTGTCCTGGAAGGAACATGGCCAAGTCTTCTGTCTTCTCTGGGCCTCCATTCCTCTCATCTGTAAACTGACAGGGTTGGGAAAAACCATCTTTGATGGTGCCACCCAGGTTGACAGTGAAATGACTCCCATCAGATTCTGAGAGGGGCTATTACAGTCTAATTTCTCTCCTACACACTGTTCTGTTTCCAAATTTCCTGTAATAAGCAGATATCACTGTGATAATTTGGGGAAAAAAACCAAATCCCACAAAAGAACAAAAGAACAAGGCCCTTTAACCCGGTGTTCCTGCGTCCCTACCCCTCAGGGCTTTGGCATCTTCAAGACACAGGGTGACCTGAGTTTGGAAAAACCACCTTCTATGGCAAAAACTGCAAGGCAAGGCGAGGGGCACCAGGGGTAGAACCAGCCGGCTGGAGTGCAGCCCAGCGCCCCGCTCCTGACAAGGTCAACAGCTCCCGGGACACTATTTTCTGGTTTTTACTCACACACCCTACACGCCTGCAGCTGGCCACGCCCAACTGTCACTTCTCACGGTCAGCCATGGGCTCTGTCCCGTAGGGTGGGATCCTATGTAAAAGAAGGGCCTGTGGGGAGCAGGCGTGGGACCAGACCAGGCGGGAGGGTGGGGCAGGGAGAGCTGCATGGGTAAGGCTCAGCCAGCCAGCCAAAAACAACCGCACTCAGAAGCCACCCCTGCTTCCCAGGGCAGGGAAGCTCCAGCACCTGCTGGAGGGCCTCGGGGGGATTAGGGCAACTCCGTCCACCTGCCTCCCCCTCTGCGGCTCAGGGCCCCCTTTCAGTTGCTAAGACCCTTCTGTTTGAGGACCAGGAGCCTCTCAGCCTCCCTCGGAGCCCTCCCATCTCAAGCCCATGATGGTCTGCCTCCCATGGAACTCATAGGCTGGGTCACCTGTCGACAGCCAAGAGCCGTAGGTCTAGCTAAACAGCAATGACTGTGCAGGTTGACAGTGAAACTTGGTTTCATATTTGGAAAACACAGCAGAGAGAGATCCTATTGCCTTCACATTACAAAAATCAGGAAGTAAATGCTTTCAAGGTGGTCCTGGCTGGTGATGGTCCCCCAGAGGCCAAGATGCTCAGGGATGGGCCAGAATCTCTGGGAGCTGGGGACATGACATGAGCTGGGGTTATCAAAAGGAAGGGTGACAGCTTCCCTACAGGAAAACTTCGTTGAGCTATTTAGTGACATTTCACAACTCACCGCCCCCAAACATGCCCAGTTTTTCCTTCCCTCACTCACACATGCACTCGTTCAGTGTCTGGTCAGCACCTGAGGAGATACAGAACTAGCCAGAATAAAATCATTAGTCTAAAAAAGAAAAGAGGGTGGGCTTTATGGTACAGAAATGATATCTTCATAAAACTTTTATTAAACATGTTTTCTTGAGGGGTGCCTTGGTGGCTCAGTTGTTGGGCATCTGCCTTTGGCTCAGTCCTGATCCCAGGGTCCTAGGATTGAGCCCCACACTGGGCTCCCTGCTCAGTGGGGAGCCTGCTTCTCCCTCTCCCACTCCCTCTGCCTTTGTTCCCTCTCTCCATGCCTCTCTGTCAAATAAACAAATAAAATCTTTTAAAAAATAAAAAATAAATAAAAATCTTTTCTTGAGAGCAAAACCGGACAAACGGGATATGTGCACACAGAGCTAACGCTGGGCCACTGGTGCCTCCGGGACACAGTGACTTCTGAATGAAGCACAATCTAAAATTATGGGGGAGGGTGCCTGGGTGGCTCAGTGGGTTAAAGCCTCTGCCTTTGGCTTCGGTCATGATCCCAGGGTCCTTGGATCAAGCCCCTCATCGGGCTCTCTGTTCAGCAGGGAGCCTGCTTCTCTGTCTCTCTCTGCCTGCCTCTCTGCCTACTTGTGATCTCTGTCTGTCAAATAAATAAATAAAATCTTTAAAAAAATAAAATAAAATTATGTGGGAGCCACAGATTCCTGAAACATAGTGGGAACAAGCCAAATATACTACGTGGCAAAGGAAGGAACTACATCTTGAATGTATCACACACGGTGTCCTCCAGGCTCTGGAAAAGGCACTGGCTATGTTCGTGCAAGAAGACCAGTGCTATGGCCGGGCAGGTCGGGCTTCCAGTCATGGCTCTGGCCTCCCTAGGGCTGACCCTGAACGTGTCCCTTCCTTTCTGAGACTTTGCCCATTTCCGAAAATGAGAGCACCACCAATCATAGAGAGGGAGTGAAGATCCAGGGAAAGATGCCTGAAATAGTGCTTGGAACACAGTGGGTGCTCATTAATTGCTGGGGCCCTCTTCCAGCTCACGTACCTGTCCCAGGAGATAGCAGAGAGTCTGCAGGGAAGGCAACACTCTCAACACAGCTTTCTCGTTGGGCAAGCCCCACACTCACAGCCCAGGAGAGTCCCCTCAGGCTGGGCCCAGCCCCAGAGGCCCACCCCACCCGCCCCAGCACCAAACCCCCCACCCCCACCCCAGAGAGGGGCCACCAGCCCAAAGCTGGCAGCTCTCAGGGGACACACCACGACAGATAATGGTCATTCGGGTTTTATTTATGACACCTTCTTAGAACAGACACATCCAGTCTAGGAATGGAAATGTACAGCATGAGGGCTTAAATAACTTTCATACACTATGTACAGTCACCGGCAGAGGTACAAAACATATTTACATCTTGTGCTATAGCCGCATAGCGAGGAGGGTGTAAGCCAAACGAGACCCTGCAGCCTGGGCTGGGGGTGATCCCTAGAAAAGAGCTGGTGGGCAGGGCGGGGCCCTTCACTTCAGGGGTCTTCTTGGAGTAGTTCCCACTTCCCTGCAAAGCCCTCGGGACAAGGGTTCAAAGAACTGGACTGGGTATGAGAAGGGTTGGGGGCTCGTTGGAGTGCTGGGGCTGGGCAGGGTGTGGGGACTAGAACGAAGATGCCATAGAAAACGGAATTTTCCTTGTCGATTCTGTCCTTGCACATAAGAGGGCAGTAAGGGATCCTGGGAGCCAGGAAAGTAGGGCCAGGCCCATGGAGGCCTGTGGGGCCACTGGCCAAACCCCAGCTCCTGAGGCTGGGCCAGGACGCTGGGCTAAGCTAAGAGAGCGGGAAGCAGTTTCCTGTTTGGGATGGCAAACAGACAGATGCCACACGTTCAGGCCCCGGGGGTGGGCAGGGAGAAATTCCCCCCTTCGCCGGGCAGGCCCTGCCCGCCCCCACATGATGGCGAAGATGCTGGGCTCAGGCTGGGGCTGGACACGCCAGGGGCTGTGCCCACACCCACCCCAGATTGCATCAGAAGATACCCCTGGGAGCTGGGCTGGTCTACATGAGGGGATAGAGCGGGCCACTTCTAACTCCATTGCCACAGTCTGCCCACGTCGCCACCACAGTGGGTGGCATGAGAAAGTCCCCACCACGGTCTTCCCTACAATGGCTTTGTGCTTTAGCTTGCCCTCTGCCTAGGTGACACCGCCCCAGGCGGGCAGCAGGGCTGGACAAGCGAGGGCTAGAGCTGTAGTGACGGGAGGGGGGTAGGGAAACCACTCCCAGATCCGCAGATGG